GGCCTAAAACAGAGCCTTGGGGTACTCCACTGCATACTTCCCTCCATGTACATGCAGTTCCATTGAGTGTGGTTGGTCAGCCAGTTACGAATCCATGTGATGGTGATGCTGTCTGACCCACATTCTTCTACTTTATCTAGTAGTAGGTTATGGTCTACCTTTAATAAAATAGAATAAACAATGAAATATAATTGAATAATTTTGTATGAAATACATATTTCATATTAAAATACAAATAATGCATTGAGACATCTTTTGGGAAAAAAACTTTACATTCCCAATAATTTTTGAACAAATGTGGAAAGAGCATTAAATAGTAATCTAAAATTTAAGAACTTACATGAGACAAATTGAAACTCTTTATTTCTAATCTTGTAAATGAGTGACTTTATAGGAAAAATAATCAGATATGATGGCAAAAGCTAAGTTTAAATAAGATGAATTATTGCTGGGAAGTCTAACACAGACAAAAAAGCAATTCAAATGTATGTACAATGAAACAACAGTGAGAGGTCTGAGGCAGGAGCAGAGGGCCTTTTGCTGCCCTTGTACAGAAGGGATTTGAAGTACAATTCTGAAGATCTGTACATAACTTGTAGAGATAAACAAAAAGCATCCCACCTCTAGGCTAGAACTCACTACAAGAAGAGCAACTTCAACTAGGTATAGGTATAGGTCAGAGCAAGAAAGTTTCAGTGGCTTAGATATTTCACAGAAAAATTGGTCAATTTTTTTTGAACAGAAGGTTATTGAAAATGTACTGCTTGCGTGCAGTAGGGCATAAAGAAAGCCAACTATCCACACTAGGGCTACCATTTTAATATAGACTCCACTGTTTATTATTGCCCCAGAGTATAATAGATTGCAAATAGCAAAATGATGATAATGTGCTATTATTGTTAAGAGACAGGTCTCAGATTCATTGAAGAAAAAGAAAATCTGAATGACATATTTAGAATACAAAATGAAAGGTCTGCTCATGGGTGAATTCAACATAGATTTTGGTATAATGGATGGAATGGAAGTTACATCAATATTTGCTAATTTCATTAAGAAGAAGTAGAATGGTTTGTGCAGGGGATTGTCAAGGGCAATGTAAATGATTGTGAAAATATTTCCAAGCAATGTGATAATGTATATTGATAGAAAGAGGAAGAGATGTAAGATCTGTAACTCTTGAACTTGAGAAAATTCCACAAGCAGGAACTCAGAGTCATAGGTAAAATTTGGCATTCTGTGCTCTCTGTAGGAAGAAGAGCAAAACGGATTAGTAGAAGTTGATTGCTCTGATAATACAATATTCTTAGCTTGAATAATTTAATTTAGGTTGACTAATGAGTTGAAAAAATGTTGATGAAAAGAATGATTGGTGTTTAAATCAGTGTTATTTTCTTGGTAAAGGAATAGTATTTCATTCACCAGAAATTTCAATTCTAAATGTATTTGGCTACATTTTCATATAAGGGATTTCTGAACAATTGCCAATTGTCTAATGTGTTAAAAAATATTAGTTCAGATTTGACACTAAGATAAATTACTACTTCAACACCATGATAAAAGAGAGTTGTTTGGCAGTACTTCCATTTTTTTCCATTTGTTGTTTTATTGATTCACAGTAGTTATTAATTTATTCTGATCATCTTTGAGACCTCAAAGTCTTTTAAAGAAATTGAAATTTTTAAGATTTTGTATGTTAACTGGTGTCAAAGTTACGAAGGCAAAGATACTAATAAAAACATGAACATAGAAGTTCAAACAGAATTGATAAATAAAATGGATTTTATGATTTTAAGATTGAGAAGAAGGTAAAAGGTCTGGGTATCACTATGACAATTATGACATACATATTATTTCAGAATAATTATGTTAAGACATTGAATCAAGTTACAAAGTTACAAAGAGATATTAAGATGGGAGAAACCACAAATCTCATTGCTGGGGAGAATTTTCGTGCAATCAATCAGGATTTTAATTTCACTATTTGACAGCATGATTTTTTTCTAATAATCTTATCTTGTATCACAATAATGCACACAATATGCATTGTAATAATATGTACAATGGAGTGAAATTAAAAAGGTAAGAAGAAACCAACAATACTCTACTTTTCCTAAATATCCTCATCAGTGACGGCAAAATAGAAACAGAAATCTATCATAAAATTACTCACACCAACCAAGTGGTCCACTACACTATGCTCCACTAAAAAATCCAACTTTACACAAAAAAATGTGATTTAAATGAGTGAGCACAAATACATTGAAGCAATCCTGAATATCAGAAAAATAAGAGTGTCAGGCTGGGATCATAAGTATAGCATCTTCCAACAAAATGGATACTTATGTAATGCTGCTGACACAGTATTGTTTGTTTGTTTGTTTGTTGGCTGCCGATCTTACCTTAAGGTAACTTTGACAAAGTAGAGTACAACCTACCTCTTAGTTAATGGAAAAATGTGGGGTAGACAACATCACCATCAATTGAATTTATAACTGGTTAATGAACTACACTCAATGTGTAGTCTTCAATGGAAGTCTACATGGAGTACAGCATGCAGGGGGTAACTCAAAATTTTCTCTCACGCTCAATACTCTTGAACATCTTCATAATCAATTTAGATAGGGAACTCATCAAATTTTCAGATGACACCAAGCTGGGGAGAATAGCCAACATTTTTAGAAGATAGACTCAAGATCCAGAAGGATTTTACAGTTTGAACACCTTGCCCCATCCAATTAAGTACAATTCAGTTATGAGTAAATAAGGTTTTACAATTAGGTATGAATGCAAAGGTATTGAATAGGCAGTATGGAGTTCATTAACAGTAACTGTGAGAGGGACTAGGCATCCTGGTAGACAACCACTTAAATATGAGCAGCATGTGATGGCTGCCCCCCCCCCAAATAAAACACCACCCAATGGTGGCCCTAGGCTGCATTAACAGCGGGGAAAAATCAAGATCATGTGAACTATCAGTACCATTTCATAATGCCTTGGTAAGACCACACTTGGAATATTGCAGCCAGTTTTGATCACCACAATATAAAAAAAGATGCTGAGAGTCTAGTTGCAGGAACTAGGTGTGTTTATTCTAACAAAGGGAAGGAGTAAGGATAATATAATAGCAGTCTTCCAATATTAGAGGGACTGTTATTGAGAAGAGAGAATAAATCTATTCTTCAAAGCACCTGAGAGCAGGACAAAAAGTAACAGACAGGAACTTATTAAGAAGGCATCCAACTTAGAACTAAGAAGAAATTTCCTAACAATGAGAATGATTCATCAATGGAACAACTTACATCCAGAAGTTGTGAGTCTTCCTTCACTGGAGATTTTTAAGATGAGATTGGTAAACTATTTGATTGGAATGGTATAGGGTATCCTACCTAAGCAAAGAGTTGGACTAGAAGACCTCCATTCCACTCAAAAAAAGAAATACAAGGAGTCGTAATAAAACATATAGTGTAAAAACAGTAATAGCAACTAATGTAGACTAAACAAACAGATAATTAGAAGAGTGCATCCATCAACATCAACTAGTACTCAGAGTACTTCCAAATTTACATATATTAAAGATTCAGATTAATTCCTGATACATTTTCCTGCTGCAATCACACAGGACTGAAATAACTCTCAATCTGCAAATTCAATTTTGTTTTTAGTTTCCAAATTAAATGACTTTGAAGAAAAATATAAAATAAATCATCACATCAAACAAGAATTGGCAAAAATATGGAGAATTCCTTTACTTGGCAATAAATAGTGCCTCCAACATATTAAGCAGAAAAATGGCATTATTTCTTTTCTGAAGAAGGCTTGAGACCTAGTAGTTTTACTAAGGCCAGTCCAATGTCTTTGTTTCTCAGACCATAAATTATTGGGTTCAGTAGGGGAGGCATTAAAGAATATATAATTGTAAATAATAAATTCAGATGTGACTCAATGTTAGAGTTGGGCTTCAGATAAGCAAACATTGTAGTTGACACAAATACGGAAAATACAATGAGGTGTGGAAGACAAGTTGAGAGCACTTTTTTCCTCCCATGAACTGACGGAATTCTCAATACTATAATCAAAATCTTTGTATAAGAGAGAATGACAAAAGTAAAGCAAGCTAAAGCTAAACTGCAACTTAATAAAATAATTAAAATTTCATGAAAATACCACTCTGAGCAGGAGAGGGTAAGCAAATGTGGTATTTCACAGAAAAATTGATTGACAACATTAGAGCAGAAAGAGTTTGCAAATGTACCTGCAGTGTGTACTAATCCATAAAAAAACCCACTTATCCATGTGCTAGCAATGATTTGTTTGCAGACTGTCCTGCTCATTACCATCTCATAATGTAAAGGTTTGCAAATGGCAATATAGCGATCATATGCCATGACTGTGAGAAGAGAAAAATCAGACCCCATGAAAAAGATAAGGAAAAAAACCTGAGCAACACATCCAGAATAAGAAATGTATCTAGTATTTTTGAGAGAATTGATCATAGATTTGGGAATAATGACTGAAACTTGACCAATGTCTTGTATGGCCAAGTTCATCAGAAAGAAGTACATGGGGCGATGTAGGTGACTGTCAAAAATTACTGCAGAGATTATGAGAATATTTGCTATAACTATTCCCAAGTATAGTATCAGGAACATAACAAAATGCAATATCTGAAATTCTGAATTTGTTGTAAATTCAAGAAGGAGAAATCCAGAGACTGTTTGATTGCTCATTGCTTCATGAGATATTTTCTGTCCCTGGGAAGAAACAAAATGAAACTTTTTGAAATATAATTTTAACTATGACTATAATTTGAATTACATTAGTTTTGGGGAGTTTAAAAAATAATTTATACTATGTTCAAACTTCTTTAGCTTTTTAATGTCAAAGCCAAGTTATTCTAATACTTATAAAAGAGAATAAAAGGAACAAAAGTATTTTTATTGACTCACTCTGTGGAGCATCTAGGGTAATATGGTTGCTCTTGATCAGAAATCCTTTCCTGGACTTGAAATTAGAGTATTTTCTATTACTTGAATAATTAAATTATAATTTTGCATACCATGATACTTTTATAAATCAAGTCTAAAAGTGTTTGGATTATTGGTAGTGTTCATGAAATAAATTAAGTTATAACTATTGTTTTTTAAAGGTAAATGGCTTCATGTATTATTAAATATTGTGAAAAAGGTCAATACATTTGAGATGTAGTGGGAAAGAGCTGTTCTTTATTCATACGCCCTTTTCAATATTTCAATATCCACAAACTAGAAGAAGGGACACTGAAACTAGAATTGTTCAATTCCAATGTTGTGGCAGCCCCTTTATTTGTCTTTAATTTCCTTATTTATTGCATTTGCTTGGAGCCCATCTTTCCACAAGGTTTCTCTTATTATAATAAAGTATTAATTATTCTTTTTTTAATGTAGGTTTTAATGTAGGTTAAAATTATGATTAATTGGATTTAGATATACGATATTAGATCTCAAATATGGTGATGTATCATGTAAACCAGATTAATTTATATATTATTGGATTTAATGACATTTAAATGATCCAATTAGTCTTGCAAAAAAAAAGTGTAAGAATGACTTTGACATAAATTTCTACCTCCAAAGATATATTTGTTTTAATTTCTTAAAGCTTGATTACTTTTATTATCTTGGTCTATTAATGAAAAATAACATTTTCATTTATCTGACTTTTTCAAATTTCTCACAGAAATTAGTAATCAAGCACCTACTTAATTTTGTATTTGAAGTATTTTCTAAATCATATCCCAGTATGTATTAGAGCAATTTGATATTAGAGCAGTTTGTGAGGTGTATCACTTAAAAAAAAATATCAGTAATGAATTATGATTAAATATATTTTGCAAACCTCTTATAAGGTAGCTAAATTTGTTTAAAATATGTCAGCTGCTTAAAAATAATCTGTTTGTCAATGGAAGAATTAAAAGTTTTCTTAAAGAAATAGTAATGATGCTGTTTCTATACTAATCACTATTACTACACTCATCAAAATGTTATACACATCAAACCAGGTGGAATTAGTATGGTAGGGATATTTTTCGAATAGATATATCATGATAATTCAAAAAATGATGAAGAGATTATTTAATCAATCTGCAAAATACCTGTAGTATTTTAAGGATTCAAGAAATATTCCAGCGATATTATACAAGGAAAAGAAGAAATGTAGCAAGAGATTATTCCATACAAAAATATAGTATATCACTTACACATTAATTACAAGATGACACATGCATTTTTCCAGTAAAGTAAGAACTTAATGTATTTTTATCCATACTTTTCAAAGAGATGAAATATGTGCTGCAACATTTGACAGAAAATTATTACATCTTTGTAAATTTAATCTGAGTACTCCAAAAGTACATGACTATGGGAAACTAAATTATTTTCTGATTATAGTTCTATTATAATCCAACTAGAAGACTAAAGGACTGCAATTATTGATTTATAAATCAATAATAGTATTTGTATTCCAGATCCTACTTTAAATCCTTTTAAGATATCTTATTGAAATTGAATTGTGCTCAATTAATTTCAGTACTATTGAAGAATGGTTCCAACTTTCACTTTAGCATAAAATGTAACAAAGCAAGAAAATCATTTTAGCAATTATCAGTATAAATTCATGGTTATCAAAGATGAAACTCACCTCTCTGTGATCTCAAAGGAAGATGCACTATATCTACCATTCCGATAGATGCTATTTCTAACTTTCTGCAATGTGATGAGAGTAGTTCCTCAAGTTAACACATTGAGTATAGTATGCAATGTGAAGGTCTATGAGTTCATTTCCTCATAAAGGATTGGAATCTGCAGGAACAGCAACTATATATGTTGAAGAATCCCAAATAAGATGAAACCATTCATCTTCCATGATCATTATACAAAAAACTCAGTGGTTCACAATTCCTCCTATTGTTTAAGCCCTCTAGAAATATACATTTCCCTTTGATAATACCCCAAAGGCAATATGTTTCAAAATGTTGGAACTGAAACTTCAAGAACTCATTTATAGATCTGGAAAGCAGTAGACTGTGAAAGGCTACTGCATTGTATAATTAATTCATATACAGCAGTAACTTCAAGCAAAGGACACTGATCCATTGCCCATGTATGCTGAAAGTTTTTTATTTTTCAAATAATCCATGTATCAAGGGAATTTTTAAAAGATGTAGCACAACATAAAATCATGACAGAGAAAAGAGTGAATGGAATAAAACCACCAAAGTAAACTATGCTGGGAAACTACCAATCAATCTGAATTGCAATACAGGATGGTCCCATAGAGGAGATATGAACTATATGGACTGGATGAAATAACAGAACAAAAATAAGGACATAGGTATATGAGGATACTGATAGCAATGGAATATTCATAATATGATCAATTCTTCTATTATTATAAATAAATATAATTGTTAATGAAAAGCCATGTAAAATTGCTATTCTGTTTGACATTCTGTGTTGGCTAGAGGCTACTTATAATACCGTAGTAACCTGTATACCTGTATCATTGCCACCATCGTCCTCCTCCTCTTCCTCTTCTTCGTCCTCCTCCTCCTCCTCCTCCTCATCATCATCCCTTTATTCATTATCTATCCATTGCAGGATGAAGGACTCTTCCACATGTTTCCAACCTATTCGGTCCTAAGCTTTCTTTTGCCAATTGCGCCTGTAATACTTTTGATGTCATTGATCCATCTTGTTTTAGGTCTCCTTCATGGATGTTTTTTATCAAGTGGAATCTATTTTGTAACTGCCTTGGTCCACCTGCCATCATTTCTTTTTGCTATATGACCAGACCATTTCCATTTCAACTCTTTTACTCTCTTGATGATATTGTATACTTTCATTTGTTCTCTAATCCATGAATAGGCCTTTCAAACTTCTATTATAATATCAAGAATGTGTCTTTCCATGACTTTTTGAATCACTTGTGAGGTTAGTGTCCATGTTTCATTGGCATATGTTAGAGCAGATAGCACACACTGATTTCTTCAGGTATAGAGGGAGATTTTTCCTGAAAATTATGCTGTGCTTGGTGAATGTCTGCCAACTACGTTTAATATTCTGTTCAATTTCTTTTATTGTATCATCTTCCATTAAGATCTGTTGGCCAAGATATATGTAGTGGTCTATTATGTCTAATTCTTCTCCAGATATTTTTTTCTTTAGTGAATATATTAAACATAATCTAGTTTTTTCAGGTTTATTTTTAAACAAAATGGTCATCCTGCTTCATGCAGCTTTTCTATGTGTCTTTGTAGCTTTTCCAGGAGAAGAGAACATCATCTGCAAATCTTAAGTGATTTAAATAGTTGCCATGGCTTTTTATATTGGACATAGCGGCCGGGCTTTTGGACATAGCGGCAGGGCTTTTGTATGCCCCGGTGCTGTGTCCGCCATAGAGATGGGACACCGCGGACATAGCAGCAGGGTGCCTTTTGCCTCTAGCGCTGGGACGGCAGGGCAGCTTTTGCCCGTTTTCAAGAAAGATCTGCTGCCCTGGCGCTAGAATCAAAAGCCACCCTGCTGCTATATCCATGGCGGACATAGCTTTGGGGCGGCAGGGCGGCTTTTGCCTCCTTTCAGGAATGCTTTCTTGAAAGCGGGCAAAAGCTGCCCTGCTGCTATATCCAACATAGAGGTGTCCCGTCTCTATGTTGGACATAGTGCCAGGGCAGCAGGGCAACTTTTGCCCGCTTGCCTCACCAGCCATAAACCTCACCGCATGTCACTGCTATCTATCTCCTGTGTGCCACAGTTTTTGTGCCTTTGAGGGAGAGGAGAGTCAATGGAAGCTCCTGGGCATTGTAATATTGCATGAGTTCAAGCATCTGTTCTTCTTTTGCAGAGACTGGGTGCCTGAACTCTGACAAGATCACAGACCCCAGAAACTTTAATTCTGGGCATGAAACATGTTTGTGGTGCCTTTCTTCTGCTCCCACCCCCACGTTCTTTCTGCCACCACCAGAACGCTTTCACCCAGAAAAGTGAAAAGCCATGTGCTCCATTTTTAAGCACCCCTTTTGTGAAGAAACGAAGCTTCCAGCTTGTGTCGGTTCTGTGTCTGGGCAAAAAAGTGCTTAGGTGCCTATAGAATGCTTGGACATGGAGCAGTTGGATCCATTTCTAAGCATCCCATAGGTGCCCAAACACTTTTCACTGAATGGAGAACTGACACAGATTGGAAGCTTCAATTCCTTGCAAAATGGGCACTTAAAAACAGAACTTCAATTGACTTTCCTCTCCCTCAAAGGCAGAGAAACCAGAAGGAGGAGCCAATTTCACGATGATACGGATGTGCAGTCTTGATGTTCCGAGACTGCTGCCAATACTTTTGCTGTGGATGGTCCAATCGGACCTAAACCTTCCCGTAGAGATGGTGAACAGGAAGAATACATCTTGCTGATCTCAGAGACACTGCAACGTCCCTGATCGATCCAAGAGAAGTTCTTTAAGCCGGCAACAAAACGTCCAGCCCCAGGCTCATGAAGTTGAAATGGCTCTGGAACAGAAGGGAAGCGGGAGAGGAAACTTTATTGTTTTAGAAAAGACTGCTCTTTTTTTAAAAAAAAGTTAAATTAAATCCAAAAGCAGAAGAAAATAAGTGGCAAGATTAACCTATATTGGATTGCTTTGGATACTCTGTTTAATTTTACTTTATGGATTGAAGTGCTTGCAACTTTTTTTAAAGAGAACAGATCAGTTTTTCTTCTATTTTTTATTTTTATTTTTTAACCTATGGATTAAAGTCCTCTTTATTTCAACAAGGACTTTTATTACTTGCTTTTAATTCCATTTAAGAACTCTGTTTCTTTTAAGTTTCAAATAACATTAGAGAGTGGGAAGCAATACTGTCATTTGGAGGCTGGAGGCTTGAGTTTTTGAAACAATGCACTTTCCTTTTTCCTTTTGATCTCACTGACTTTGTATCTTGAGGCTTGGCAACTTGTTTATAGAAAGTGATAAGGAGCAAGGGCATGAATTGTTTTTACAGGTGCATTTTGAGAGTCTTACTGGCAGTGGAAGAGAAAAAGAAACAAAACCTTCTTTGACTATACCCCTTGTCATTTCATTGTTTTTATTATAATTGTTATTTATTAATAAAAATTCATTTACTAATTATATCAGGTTTCCTCTCATCAAACCAACACATGTATGTACCTTGTTATCCTTATCAATTATTTATTTAACATATCACTCTAAAGATTACTAAATTTCTAATCACTAATCATATTGTAGAAGTGTGTCGATTGGTTACAAATAACTTTCATGAATCTCTTCAACAGTCATTACTTATAATTCAAATCACATTATATATTTTAAATCAAAAATCTTTGTATATCTTACTTTCAACATACCACGCTTCTCATTTGACTATGGTTGTTTTAACATCCTTTTGCATGAAATAGTCCAAAATTAAAAACACAGCCACGTGGTAGCATTTCACTAATTATTTCTAATATCATCCAATAACATTACCCCTTTATAGCATGTTCTAAGTAAAATTTAATTATGTTTGATAACAGGATCCTTCTGAATCTTGAGTTTACCTTCCAGAGTGTTAGCAATTTTCCCCAGCTTGGTATTATCTGCAAATTTCCCCTTCAATCCCTCGTCTAGATAATTTATGAAGTTGTTGAAGAATACTGGCCCCAATTCAGAACCTTGAGGTACCCTGCTGCATGCCTCCCTCAGCATAGATGAGTTGAGGACTACATACTGCCTGCAGTTGGTCAGCCAAGTGCGAATCCATTTGGTGGTGGTACTGTCTATACTATATTGCTCTGGGGTATACTTTGTCAAATGCCTTACT